CTAAAGAATGTTGATGGGATCTGGATTGGGATTGCATTGAATGTATAGATTGCTTTGGGTAGAACTGACATTTTCACAATGTTCAGTCTTCCTATGCTGTCATGTTTTTATGTGTTTTTTCATGGTGTCCCTGGTTTCTTTGTTCCATGTTATTTTCTGTGCTGAGTTCATTATGTTTATGAATCCTGTTATAATTTCCTTTGCTGCTGTTTTTTTGTATTTGCTGAATATTTGTGCCTGTCCTCTTTTTATTGTGATGTGAAGGTTTATCATTTTTCTTTGAGGTTACCCTGTGATTTATAATTTTCTCTCTGAGATTAAAACAGTCCATTCTATCTTGAAACTCTCTTAACTTTCTCACCATTTAGAAGTTCTGTCACTACACAGTATTTTCCCTCTTTTTGTTTGTAGTTGTCCTCACTTCCCAATTGATGTCTCTGGTTTCCTGTTTAGAATCTTGTAAGCTTATTTTACTTTGGATATGTCCATAGCTGTGTTTTTTGGGTTTTGTCAACTTGTGTATTAGTGGTCAGTTGTTATTTGCTATTTTTGGTTCTCTATTCAAAGGACTCACTTTAATATCTCTTGTGAGGTTGTTCTGGTTTTAACAAATCCCCTTACTTTCTGCTTATGTGGAAATCTTCTAATTTCCCCATCATATTTGAGGGACAATTTTGCCAGGTATATAATTCTTGGTTGAATTTTTTTCTTTCAGTGTCTTATATATACCATCCCATTGCCTTCTCACTTGCATGGTTTCTGCTGAGAAATCAGACCTTATTCTTACCGGTTGTCCTTTGTAAGTAACTTTGTGTTTTTCCTGTGCTGCTTTCAGGATTCTGTCTTTGTCTTTGTCTTTGATGAGTTTGATGATGATGTGTCTTGGTGATTTTCTTTTGGGGTCTATCCTGTTTGGGGTTTAATGGACTTCCTGAATGGATATATTCTCATCTTTCATCATATCAGGGAAGTTCTCTTCCAACAAATATTGGACAATTTTCTCAGTGATTTTCTTTTTCTCTTCCTGTTCTGGAATTCCAATTACATGTAGGTTATTCCTTTTCATGATATCCCACATGAACCTTAGGCTTTCTTCATTTTTTAAAAAATCTTTTTTCTGATTTATCTCTTTCCAAAGAACTATTCAGGTGTTTGTCTTCAATCTCATTAATTCTGTCTTCCATTGCATCAATTCTACTCCTTTGCCCTTCCAATGTGTTATCTATTTCTGACAAT